CAGTCATAGTTGACACGAACTTCTTGATCTTCTCGTGGTTTCTTTTAATGTCATAAATTGTAGATCGGCCTACGCCATATTCACTTGCTAAACTACTGAAAGCTTCATTGCGATTTAAGCGGTCTAAAATATCACATTTTTCTTTAATTGTCAATGTTTTGTGCTTCGCTTCTGAGTTTGTGATGACATTACTAGGTACTATACTTAATACACAATGAATAAATAGTAAACAATGAACGCACGCAAGACCGTACCGCTATCACCAGTAGTCAAATTCAAACTAAATAAAACATGCTTACGCGCCGAGCACGATAGCGGTGGCGCGTACAAGTTATAACCTGTTCAAAACCTGCGTGATCTACATTAGCGAAGATTGTCAAATACGTATGTATGTACTACATATTCAACGACATGTCGGATTACAGGGGGCGCCGGATTAGACAGGGATTATCGGGGGTCCACTGTATATTGAATATTAGTATTTGCGTAGTCAAAGCCAACTGGCAAATATGAGAATTTGTTATTGAAATATTTAAAGGCATTGTTCATTCTATGACGTGTCATGTACGAGGGGGTACCCAAAAATAATCGGATAGCATTGCAGTGGGCGGAGCTTGTGTAGTACATATTCCTGCCCCTAGAGGCGTACAAGCGCAACTCAATACCAGTTCAGTGTCGATCTGGCTGTTTCGTTCCTCTGTAGTTATTATTTTCGCTAGAGGTCTTTCGTGCTTGTTTCGTTTTTTACGATGGCAAGCTTCATCGAGCAACGTGCAGCTGTGAAATTTGCTTTCTAATTGGTAAAAATGCTGCTGAACTGTTTTAATGTTGCTAATAGCTTGCAAAGATGATGCTATTGGAAAACTCAGGTGTACGAGTGGTTTGCTCAACTTAAAGTAGCGACATATCGATTGATGATAAACTTCGCCCTGGACGTCGATCAACTGACCGAATCGACGAAAATGTTGGAAAAAATCGAGAGCTTGTGCTATTTGGAGGTTTAAGATGATTGCGAAACAGTGTTCGGCAAGAAAGTTTAAAAGTTGAAATAATAGCCTTTAAAAAATCATTCCGTTTTTTTTTTGGTAGCCCCTCTTATAACGCTGAAATGGTGAGGAAATTGGCAGTGTTAATGTATAAAAAGGGCGAGCAAAATTAAAATCTCTTCACTTTCCTTAAATGCCACCGTTGTTTGAACCATCATGTAGGTGAAGCTATTTGGAATATGTAATGCCTTCAATCATATTTGAAATGTTTTTAATCGCTATATTGCAATTATAACGATGTAACAGTAAACTGTGATACGGCTCTAGGCGACAGCAACTATTTAGAAAATGGTGAATGTGCACGGTAGCAATCGTAGCGCTGATCACGTTTATTGAGTCAATACAATTTTACAAGCCCTCGGATAAATAAAGCTGATAGTTCTTCATTCTATTATATCTGGATTTTATAATCAATAAGATTAAGTTCTATTTTATGAAGCTTTTACTGTGTAAAAGAAACCTTATAATTTTTCATTATTACTCAAACTATATATACTTTTAGCTCTTTTGTGACTTCTCATGCAACTTAAGTTGCGATCTGCATATACATTTTATGTATTCATCTATGAACCTGTAAAACTTTTACATATGATCGGGCGAAAAAGGGTGAAAACGTTACATAGGCCCACAAAACAGAAAGTGGTGTATGCCTGAGGTCCTACTATGTTTTTCCCATGTCTGTTTCACGCTGAACACAAATCTAAAAATTGGGATTCGTTAAGCCAAATAAAAAAGTAATTATAGGATTAGGGTCACTCGTCCTGGCATTTTTGGTGGATCTGCATATCTCCAGAGGTCCTCAGAGCGCATTACCAAAATAACCAAAATTTCCAATACTCATGTATAAATATACTAAGTGACATATAAATCCGAACACCCAGTTTTAATGGTTTTAATTTTAATAAAAGTTGGTGAATGTATATATCTTACTGTAAATAACAAGTGAAAAAATTTTCAGCCTTGTCAGTTGGACATTCCGGTTTTTATACTGCTTTTTTTAATTCACTAACGCTCTAAAAAATGAAGATTTCAGCCGCAGTAAAGAATCAACGTTGGCAGATTTTGGTTCTTGACATCCTTTACGATCGGTTACGATGCCAAGAGTACGGAGACATGTACGATTTCGTCACTTAGTGAGTTTGATAGAGGCCGTATAGTGGGACTTCGGGAAGCTGGACCTTTCTTTTCGGGCAATTGCAGTTAGAGTGCAAAGAAGTGTAGACACCGTGGTTAGGTGTTGTCAGGCATGGCTTCGAGAAGGACGTACGCAAAGAGCAAGGGGCACTGGACGCCGCCGTAGAACAACAGACCGTGAAGATCGCCGCCTAAGATTATTCGCCGTAAGGCACCGTTTCTCCACTACCAGGTCCATTGCAAATGAATGGTTTGCAGAACACGGAAGACCTATTGGCATGCGAAGTGTTTACCGACGAATGAGAAGTTTTGGCTTGTTTTCATACCGGCCACACTGGGTCCTACCTTTAACTCGGGATTTTGTTTAGGCATGCAGGATGGTCGTGCCAGGGTTAGAAGGCGACGTGGTGAAAGGAGGAATCCATAGTTTTCTGTTGAAAGACATGTTCATCACACTGTTGGAGTTATGGTTTGGGGTGCTATAGCTTATGGTTCCAGGTCACCTTTAATCTCCATCAGAGATAACATGAACGGGCAGCGTTATATCCACGAAGTTCTAGAACCCCATCTTTTACCCTATCTTGACACCCTGGCAGATCCAACTTTCCAACAAGATAATGCCCGACCACATGTTGCAAGAGTCACAATAGACTTCTTTCAACATAATGATGTCACATTGTTACCATGGCCACCAAGATCTCCCGACTTATGCAGATTTAGTTAAGGGTTATTTACGTTTAAACCACCACGGTATCTTTTCCAAAGTATCCATTCAAGATATTTGGTTTTATTTGTTGGCCAACAGATTGATATAAAAGTCTGTTCAAATCACTTTCTAAGCTACTGTAATGATTGTTTTATTTTGAGACTGTGAACTGATGTAGTTTTTTTTTGAGACTGGCTAAGAGAATGTAGTCATGTAATGAATATTTCTTGTGCCTTTCTCATGATTAAGAATTTTATTTTGTTTTACATTCAGTTTTATACTTTATATAGAAGTCGTGATATATTTGTTAATGTTATTTATTTCATGAAGATGTATTTTTTGTTATTTTGTCTGACATTGTTATGTGGAAAAGTCTGTGATAGATTATATTATTTTGCATCTTTGTTTTAATATATGAACATTGCTCGAGCTTGGCTTGCTTTATTTACACTTTGATTTCGTATGATTCAAAATTAAAAAAAATGCTCGAGCTTGGCTTGCTTTATTTACACTTTGATTTCGTATAATTTAAAATTAAAAAAAATTGTATGTATTTTCTACAGAAATTACTATAACAAATTCATATGTATGCATATATCCATGATTTTAATGTTATAACACTTCAGTAGGTAACACTGAGAATTTACTTTCCATTTTACCCCTCCGAGACTGAAATCCTGGGAGCCCCACTGACTGAATTATTTATTTCATATAACACTAGTTGTTTTTAAAAACAAACTGTTCAGTTTCTTTTAAGCGCTTCCTGTTATTGGGTGCGTTTGTGCCTGTTGGAAATAAATGTCTATCTATCTAATAAAAAATCACGCCTGATCATCAAACATGGTTTCTCTAATTTTCGTGTGATGCACCGTACACGCGGCAGTTGCTAATGACTGGTGATTATACAAGCTTTCACGAGCTCATGAAACTCGGACACCCACAAATCACGTCCATCTGGTAGCGGCGGCGGAGGCGCCAATAATAACCATTCGAATAAGTGTAAATTGAATGCCGAAAACAATTTACGAACACTTGACGCACCAGGCCACGCACTACAAAAGCAGAGTCGGTCTGAGTTAGTTAATTGGATGCAATGGGGCCACACCGATACATTTTTTAACATTATTCGTGACACTAATGGCAATAACACTATGCGGTATCGTTGAGATCATAGGTAATATTTTTTATAACTGCTCATTAGACTGCCAAAACCTGCACTATGATCGAAATACATTAATACGAGATGTAATAAAAAATAGCGTCGAGTGGGTTGACTGCAATTCCCACACAACGCTGCCATCAGTTCATAAAGGATTATGTTCGGCTAGCTACAAAAATGTGTAACAAATAAAACTAAATGGGTCAAGTCAGCCAAACAGACCCATATACAATTAGTACATGGGTATTTATCAACGGACGTAGAAATTTCATTTTGCATTTCTTAAAAAAAAGTAATGAAAATATATCCTTTTTTTTGCAGAAATATAAAGTTTTACCTTAGTGAGGTTCATTGAAAATGAAGGTCCTCCATATTTTTGTGTATAACATACCTATAGAAAACTGACGTATATAAAACTATGAAATGAGAGAATGACTTATAGGATGGGGGAATGATTTTTACAACAATTTGATGCTAAATTTCAATAAAAAACATAAGTTAATTTATTACTAGATGTACTGAGATTTGTTTTATACTTCAGAGAGCTTAGATAGTCCTTCTTCCCTGGGCACATCCTCGTATTTTCATCCTTCTCTAAGAAATGAACATCATCCTTAACTTTCGGCATTTTGGAGCTAACTTTACGAGTACAGTTCTTTTTGTACGTATCGTTTTTGGAAAAATGTTTCTATCTATATAGCAATTTGTATCTTTTGTACTAATTACAGCTTCAACATTTTGTAATATATTTTCTTTTCTCCATGTTTACTTCCAAGATCTTCATAGATATTCGTGAGGTCTGTTGACAGAGCTTCTCCGAAGATGAATCTTTAACTTGTATATTCTTTAAAAGCGAAGACATTTTAGTTGCTGGAGAGTTTGGGTCAGTATTGTTAGTTTTCAATCTCAAACACCTCTTCTTATATTTTTCGCTAAGCTTGACTGCGTTCCTTACTTTGTTTTCCAAACTTTTAATCTTCGCGTACAGAATAGTTCGCCGCTTGCGCATTCTACGTCTATTGAGAGCAGACAAATTCTCTGCTCTGTGCTGTAAAGGTGGTGCAGGACGTGGTGGGGGTGTTTCTTCAACTATTTTCTGTAAACTTGTTTGTAATGTAACTCGCTTTACCCTATAAACTTTAGTATTATTTTTCCATTGTTTTCGTTTTTGGCTAGTTTCTCTTGCACTCATAGAACTTATTGACTTAACTTGACTTTTTATTTAAATACTTTAATATTTCTTTTTCACGCAAGGCTTCTAAAGACTCAGCTTTAATTTTCATTTGTTCTCGCCTCTTTCTGTCGTACTCCTTCTTTTATAATTTATTTTATTCTTGCTATACAACCTGGAGTTAAACAATAACACCCAAACCACAATTTTATATAAGTATGCAAAAATCATTCCCTCATATAATTTTCATTGCATCACTTTCTAATCTAGTAACGGAATGACCTTGAGGCAGTGACGGATTTGCATAAAAGACAACGTAACCAACAGTACATCAGCTCAAATTGATTTAGCATTTTGTGAATGCATTTTACTCTCCAAAACAAGAAAAAAAATCATTAAAACATTCGAACAGTATAATGACTTATACTTTATCTGAAGTCACTTGAAACACTGTGAAATACCGGGTGCGTTTTATATATCTATATTTAACACGCTCTGTTGCTGCAAAAATCGCTAAATTTCGCAGCAAATATCCCCCGTATAAGATCAAAGGCAGTTTCACCGGTCCACGTGGAGTAAAGCACACCTATGCGTGGACATATCCAATGAGAAAGCGTGTATTCCAGAGCTCCGAACAAGTGCAGGTGGCTACTGAAAATTGAAACAGTTTAGCCAGTGTTTTTTCATAGATTTTATTAGTTTGTGTGTTTTTGACTTTTGAATACTCAGTTTACTTATTGATTTAATTGTTGTGTTGATTGTTCTTGTGTGTCCTAAATATGGCTCTTTGGAGACCTTGGGAAAATGCTCCAAGCCACGAGGAGATGGTTGATGAACCTGTGCAGGCAGAATTCTTTCATAAAGATTTAGAGGAACAGACCCAAAGAGTGATCCTAAATATGCATGATTGTCTGAAAAACGAAAATCCACATTCCTCGCAAAATCAAATTTTAAACAGAATTTGTATCCTGACAAAAATCAGTCGGTCTACCATTTATCGGGTTATAAAAAGGGAGATGTAGTCAACCATTCCTTCCACAGAAAGCGCATAGGGCAAAAATTAAAAAGAATAGACGTGGGTTTTCAGGAAGATATTCGTCGTATAATATACGGATTTTATAAAGAAAATTTGGTGCCCACGTTGGAAATGATAAATTAAAAGATTATCCTGAAGATTTTTATAATTACAAATGCTTAGACTGACTGCACTGTATTGTAAAACTGTGTGGTTTTCAATACAAAAAGTTAGATAAAAGAATGGTGATTATGGAGTCGTCTCGAATCGTTGAATTGCGCCAAGAATTTTTGCACAAAGTTAAAATCTATAGAGAGCAGAAAAGAAATCTGATTTACCTGGATGAAACGTTGTATGATACCCATGATGTTGTGCAGTACGGCTGGGTTGACGACAGCAACAAGTGCATTCTAAATGCACCATGCAACCGTAGAAAACGAATCATTATTCTCCATGCTGGCAGTGAAAATGGATTTATACCTAATGCCTTATAAAATATCAAAGAATCCTGTGCCGACTATCATGAGGACATGACCTCCGACTTATTTGAAAAGTGGATAGAGCAGCAGTTAATACCAAACATTTCCCCAAATTCAGTGATTATTATGGACAATGCGCCATACCATTCCCGACAGAAAAACAAAATTCCGAATACAGGCGCAAAAAAAACAGGACATTATTGATTTTATGAAGGATAAGGGAATGGAAATACCACAAAAATCAACCAAAGCCATATTATTGGATCTTATTAAAAGACAAAAATTTGAAAAAGAGTATGTTGTTGACAATCTGCTTCAGCAAAATGGCCATGAAGTATTACGTCTACCTCCCTATTACTGCATTTTTAACCCGATTGAGTTGGTCTGGGCTGCTTTTAAAAAAAAAGTAAGAAAACATAATCAGACCCCTCAATTAAGTGAATCGCTATTGGCCACAATAAGAGATGCAGTATCTCAAATTGCTGCCACAGACCTATGGAAGCAGTGTTCTAGGCATATTATTGAAAAAGAAAATGAATATTGTGTTTTGCCTCCTGTAAATCCCGTTGTAATTCCTCTACAAGATGACTCTAGCGACAGCTCCGAAGGCGAGGATGATATATAAATACCTATAATGTAAGTCTTTATATACCTTTTTATATACCTACCTGCTATGTAAATATTTGCCTACCTATGTCAAACGTTGGAATTCTGTAATTTTTCCATTTCTTAAATTTCAGTCAACATAAATTAAACTCCCAATATAAGTATTTTTTATCCCAAATCAAAAAAATAAGAAGATAGTAAAATCCATTTATTGTGATATACAAACATTATTATTATCGTTCTAAATAAATGACCGCACGCCTATGATACGTCATGAAATTACAAAGGACGCGCCGACCAAAGGTCCTTATGCTATTTCAAGTGACTTCAGATAAAGTATACCTTTTAATATAAACAGTGAGGTACTCGTAATAACACAGAGAAATGTAATGTTCTAATTATCGAAATCCAATACTTTTTTGCGGCAACTCTTTTCACTATTAAGAAATTCCGCCATGTTGACATTATTAGCAGTATTGCCAAGTCTTAAAAAACATAACAGCTGCGTGCAAAAATATCAAATGGTGTGACCAGAAATCGAATATTTATAATGGGTGAGGGAATGATTTCATTTCAAGGGACATATACTAAGTGACATATAAATCCGAACACCCAGTTTAAATGGTTTTATTTAATAAAACTTTGTATATGTACTTAATGAAGCATAATAAGTAAATGATAAAAATTTCAAAATGATTGCACTGCTTTAAAGCCCTTTGACCATAAATAATGTGTGGATGCACCCTGATGTGCTACGCATTCTCCAACGCGCCTAGGCATGCTTCTGATCAGGTGGTCAATGTCCTCCTGTGGTATCTCATTCCAGGCAACCACCAACTCCACTCAAAGTGCTTCTAGAGTCTGAGGAGGACGTTGCAAATTGAGCAATCTCCTACCCATCATATCAAACACGTGCTCAATTGGGGATAAGTCGGGAGATCTTGGTGGCCATGGTAACAATGTGACATCATTATGTTGAAAGAAGTCTATTGTGACTCTTGCAACATGTGGTCGGGCATTATCTTGTTGGAAAGTTGGATCTGCCCGGGTGTCAAGATAGGGTAAAAGATGGGGTTCTAGAACTTCGTGGATATAACGCTGCGCGTTCATGTTACCTCTGATGAAGATTAAAGGTGACCTGGAACCATAATCTATAGCACCCCAAACCATAACTCCAACAGTGTGATGAACATGTCTTTCAACAAAAAACTGTGGATTCCTCCTTTCACCAGGTCGCCTTCTAACCCTTACACCGACGTAATCGCCTTGAGTGGTGCAGACAACGGTCACTCTGGGATCAGGAATGGAACAGTATTGTCTTTAGTGACGAGTCTCGATTTTGTTTAGGCATGCACGATGGTTGTGCCAGGGTTAGAAGGCGACGTGGTGAAAGGAGGAATCCACAGTTTTTTGTTGAAAGACATGTTCATCACACTGTTGGAGTTATGGTTTGGGGTGCTATAGCTTATGGTTCCAGGTCACCTTTAATCTTCATCAGAGGTAACATGAACGCGCAGCGTTATATCCACGAAGTTCTAGAACCCCATCTTTTACCCTATCTTGACACCCTGGCAGATCCAACTTTCCAACAAGATAATGCCCGACCACATGTTGCAAGAGTCACAATAGACTTCCTTCAACATAATGATGTCACATTGTTACCATGGCCACCAAGATCTCCCGACTTATCCCCAATTGAGCACGTGTGGGATATGATGGGTAGGAGATTGCTCAATTTGCAACGTCCTCCTCAGACTCTAAAAGCACTTCGAGAGGAGTTGGTGGTTGCCTGGAATGAGATACCACAGGAGGATATTGACCACCTGATCAGAAGCATGCATAGGCGCGTTGGAGAATGCGTAGCACATCAGGGTGCATCCACACATTATTAAAGGTCAAAGGGCTTTAAAGCAGTGCAATCATTTTGAAATTTTCATCATTTACTTATTATGCTTCATTAAGTACTTATACAAAATCTTATTAAAATAAAACCATTTAGACTGGGTGTTCGGTTTTATATGTCACTTAGTATAGTTTAAATAGATTTTTTTAAATACATATTTATTTTTTAGCAATGAAAGCTTGACTATACAATCCATACTTATTACCAAATATTTTAGTAATATTCAATTTATAAGAATATGAGCAGATTTGATTGTATATATTTTTCTATTAGTAACTTCAGGCTCGGCGACGAGATGATGGAATGACTTTTAGACTAATAAATTAATCGTATTTTTTGTGTCAATATATTATATAAATTTTTGCTTCCAAAATATTAGTGTAGATACTTATTGATGTAATAAAAATGTTAAGTTGATGATAAATCCATGCAACTTATCATCAATGGCTCAAGACATGAATTTCGGAATTTGCTGAGAAATACCCAGGTACGTATTATGCACAACATCCTGGATGTGATATAAAGACAAAACTAGATAATCATATATGGACAGTCGTCAGAAACAGCGAAAACATTTAATTAAATATGATAGAAAATCGACCTATTATTTGCATTTTCTTTGGTCCATTCTTTTATGAAATGATAGAAATTGGCAATTCTATGAAAGTTATCCTAATTCTAAAGCTCAAAGACATGGTATTACATCTGTTACCATTATTTATAAAACAACCCCTTCTTCATTAGAAATTACTGGTATCAGGACAGCTTTGGCAGCTGTTCCTTAATTGGTTGAAGACTCCGTTAGTTTTTGGTGTGATTGAAATCGACCCTAAAGGAATCAACCAGTGTAAAGACAAGTTCTGTATATGTTAACAGTTGTTGACACTTAACAGACGTATGACAGAACATTTAACTAAAATCAATTTTAAGAAAAACGTTATCTTAAAACTACAAATGAGCACCTCCATCTGAATGGTCGTTAGAATTAGTTATATCCTTTCCTTTAATGTGTTGGTAT